AAATTTTTCCTGGTGCGAAGGTACTTCTTCTCCTGGATCTCTTTCATAATCTGATAAATTTTCAAGTCAAGAGCTTGCGGGGCACGGAAATGGAGATTTTTTGAAAGCAGACGTAGACAATGCGCTTCCTGAGCAAAATTTGAATTTTTTCAAAAATGAAGCCTGCTTTAGACTAGTTTAAAACGTTTCAGAGACAAAGTCGCAAGTGCCATCTGTAACTTATGAAAATTGCAATTTTTTTAAAGCAGACGTGCCGAAAGGGCGTTTTGGACAGATTTTAAAAAATTGCCACACATTTACAGAGAACCGCGTTGAAAACGTTCAGTAGTCACTCACTTTTTCCTTTAATGGAAACACCACCAAACCCTTCCTTGTGCTGTAAACCAACGTCTTCCTGTGGCTTCCGTGCCAACATTGAGCCAGTTTAATGCGCAACACTTCACAACACCTTCCTGGCTCCTCAAAACCGAAACTTTTGGCAGAATGTCGAAAGAACAGGCACATTCTGCCAGGCGAAGACTTTCTCAACTCGCAACCGCAGATTAATGAACCTCCTTATCTATATTAACGCGATATGCGCCAATTTAATTACGCTATTTGCTTATTAACTGTGGGGAAAACAATCAATATACATATAGCAAACAAAGCCAAAAAATCATATAAAATCAGGCCTAAAACAAAAAAACAACTGAACGCAAATATGGTATATTGCAAATTAAAAAAAATATAAAAAAAAAACTTCACCCAGTCAAATAATACACCACAAAATCCACATCTGGTTCTACAACACTAGACGTTGGCTTATTACCTGAAATCCGCTACTAACTAATCAATCTGCAGATTCTTCAAAATCGTCTTCTCATCAAGCTCCACCTGTTGGGGGCTTTTGTTGGTCAAAAACCCCCACCAGCTGCCCCTCTTCACTCGTTTGCTCTCATCAGCCTTCAGATGTTCGGACTCGACCAGCCAATCCCGATACTTTCCAAGGAGGGCCTTTGTGATGGTGTCCAGATCTTCAACTGTTGGCGCTTCGCCTCCATAGTCCATTGGCAGCAGTTCAGTGGGGAAACCGTCTGGAATACTGCCTGGATGGGTACGAAAAAATCCAATTTAGCCAAGAAAATTCGGTGCCAAACACTCGGCTTACCTTTATGGAACCGGACCAGATTCAGAAGCTCGGATCGCACCAATGGAACCACTAGTCTCATTACGTGATGGATCCAGGTGGCCGTGTTGAGCACATGGATTTGCTTTAATCGGCATGGATGAGCGTCCTGGAAAGTCCGGAAAAAATCCGATGATCAAATCTACACACATATACATTTTTTTCTGGAAAAATTACCTGTATGTAATACATGAAGCATTTTAAGGCTGGGAGGCTGACTCTGGCTAGATGGCCCAGGCACACGTCTTTCATGTCGAAAATCACTATATATCTGCAAAAGCAAAACCTTATAATTCCCCTCAAAAATTAACAGTGAGATTTTTTCCCCCATTGAAACTTTGAACAGCACGATTGAAAAACCACAAATAGTTTGAAAGCTTCTGCCTAGCAAGTGCATGGTAAAAAAACAGCTCAAATATAGCATTCCAAGCTGAAATTTAATTAATCTCTGCAATTAGCCGAATAAGAGTGAATTTTAATGTCCATTTGAAGCGTTTTCAAGAGCCGCCGATAGCGAAAGGCAAACAACAATCGGGCCCAGTGTGGAACGTGAACAATCCCATTAATATGCAATAAGAAGAAAGCGCTCAGATGTGCAATGAGGAAATGCATCAGCCTTAATAACTATTATGCAGCCACGTTGTGCAATCATTGCAATAATGATTCAATAGGGAAACATTTCAGCTGCGAATTATGATTATGATTTAGCTGCAGGGGCACTGAACGTTGGCATAAGATTGAAAGGCTACAAATCAACATCCTGTGGTCTTTTTAAGGTAAATTTGGGGCCGGAAATTGTACATAAAGAAAAATTACCCTTCTTGTAGGCCATCCTCGGACAGGACGCAATCGTTGTACATGCAAAACCCCTTAACCACATCGTTGAAGTTCATTTTAGTCGGATCAGGGTCTCGGACTGAGTAGAGCAGCACTCGGTATCCTTCGGGCGTGGTTTTGGGCAATCGGACCAGATATCTGCAACAAAACCATTCATTATTGCCCAGCTAAAACTACACAAACCTGGGAACCTTTTGGGCTTCTGAGCGCTGCGAAACAATGACAATAATGAGCGATTTTCATCAGCTAGCTTTGGTTGGGCTAAAGCTGTGGGCAGTCTCTTGTGCCCAAACGCTGCAGCGTTCCCTCAAAGTTGAGGAAATTATTCCTCGCGGACATTCGCTCAAGCTCTTTGCCCGCTTGGCACTCAACAGGGCAACACAGGGAATTGATTTTGAACTGTTTGCGCAATTTGGCCTCCCGCCGCTCGCGGTTCTGAGCCACAATCTTGTAAGTGAAACTCTGCTGATGTCTACTGGGTTTGGGCTTGAGCTCTTTGCCCACCAAGCGCGGCTTCAGAATGACTTTGTCCAGCAAACTGATTGGTTTCGGGGGACTCTCTTGGACAGGCTCCGGACGTTTGGAGGTGCCTGAAATGTGCACCGTTTTAAATGACGAGTCTGCCTCCCAGTGGGTTTAGTGAGGTTAGATCAAGGGCTTATAAATTGGTTGAAAATTGAGTAAACAGAGTGCGTGCGCTTCGCTGGCGAACAGACCTCTGAGGATGGTAGCCAGGCTGGCTAGAGAAACGTCCAGGCCAAAAGCCTGCTCCTAGGAGCATCTGGCTAATGTAGGGCGATCAGTCGATGCAAACAGCAATGGAGTACTTGGGAAAATCACCGGAATTTACGCTCAGAAATGGACGGTGAAGATCACGTTCACTTACCACGTAGTTAAATTGAAGAATGCACTAGTAGACGCTCTTCAGTTGCAAGTTTGCTTCGTTCGAGCTGAACGCGAAGAGAAACGCGCGGGTCTTTGAACGTCCCTCCTGACAAGCCGCCAGGCAATGCGATCAAAATCAGCACACTTTTGCTTTGTTCTGCGGCGAAACGTTGCACAGAACTTCCGAAAATAATCCCCGAATTTTCGATGAATTCTCACCCAATTTGAGCGGCAAATTTAGGGAATTTCAAAAGCTAATTGGAGTCTGGGACCTATTTTGACCGGGGGCATTGCCAAAAAGTCAACAACTGGCTTAAACACAAGCGGCGGTTGGTTGATAGCGGAGCGTTGCCAGGCAACGCTGAGGCGCCAAGTTCGAACAGTTGCGCGATTTCAGGCGTTCGGAGCGCAAATTTGCCGGAAGAATAGGGGAAGCGAAGCAAAAAAAAATAGCAGGAGAAGATTGTGAAAAATTCCCACAACAAACCTAGTTTCACTTTGTTGAAAAGCGACGAAACCTCCATTGGGCGCGCCCCCCTAGTTTCCTTCCTGTTCCCTTGCGCTTTCATCATCACGCTTTCCTTCTGGAAGTTTTCAGGCAAATTCCAGGCCCGCGCCGCTTGCAGCTGCTCCATCAGCAGCTGAATGGCCGGTTTCTTCTTCGTCTTCTTCTTCTTGGCCTTCTGCTTCAGCACCTTGACTTTCACCCCCTTGGGCTCGGCGGTTTGTTCAACTTTGAGCGCCTTCTGCTGCTTCACCGGCTCCACGCACAGAAAGTCCGAGAAGCTCTTCAAATTCATGCTCTTCCTCCTGAACTCTGTGTAGAGTGGGGCTTTCGCTGGCACTTTCGCCCTCAAACTGCCCATTCTGAGCGGTACCACTTCCAGCTTGGAGCTGTGATCAATGCTGGTGGAAAAGTTGGACTTGAATTGGGGAATCTTCGCTGGGTCAATCGGCTCCAGCACGTTTCTTCGCGAGGAGAACCTGTAGGAGACTTTGTCCGGCTCCCTGGTGCTGTCAGGTCTGTAGGAGGCGCTTCGCAGCCTAACAGCGGCAGGCACTGGTCTGGATGGCTCCTTTGATTGCAGCCGGTAGGGGGTGGTGGAGGAGCGCATTTCCAGGCTGCTGGCCGTTTGAGGCCGCTGCTGTTGCGTGGAGGAGCGCGGCGCTGAAATGTTCAACTGGGAGGAAGATCGTCGTAGCTTTGGCATGTTGCTTCTATGGAGAATCTGCGCAAAGAGCGGCTCTTCATCTTCAAATCGTCGCAAGCGTCGCGCCGTTTGATCGGTGAAATCTGCCATGTTTTCCGCGTCTAAAAGGGAACTTTACGATCACTAAAAGTGCCATTTAGCCCGGGCGTTGCAAACCGTTCACCTCCAGGCTCGTCTTCAATCTCGTAGTCCTCCTGCTGGTGCCTCTGTTTGATTTTCTTCAGAAAAATCGGCATTATGGTGCTTCGCTGCCTGAATCGCTTCGGTTTCGACTCGCTCTTCACACTGACACAGTCCGAGTCCTTTTGCATGTCGGTTTTGCCCTTTCGGTTCAGCAGTTCTTCGAAAATGGTGCATCTTTTCACTTTTCTTCGCCGTTCTTCGCCGATTTTCATTATGGGCTCCGGTGGCTCCTCCACATCCATGAACACTTTCGGCTTCTTGTGGTTCGGTTGGGCGCAACTCAAGACGTGCTGGTACGTCACTGAACCCGGCGGTTTTATCCCTTAAAATTCATTTTTGGTTTAAAAGGGGTTTAGTAGATAAAAATGCCAAAAATTATGCTGGAAATTGATGTTGAATTTTTTTTAAGCGTCTCACCAACATTTTTTTCCCTAACCGATCAAGCGAAAGCGTTAGTTTTTGGAGCGAACCCAAGAGAAAGCTCTGTTCTATATATGGGGAAAGCGTCGTTTTGGAGCAGCTTTTGGGGTAATTTTGGCGAATTTTCAAACCTGCTGCTTGCAATTGAGTGTTTAAAACTTCGAAAATTATTTTTTTTTAAACCATTAAATCTTGGGAATTGTTTCAACGTATAGTATAACGTATAATAGCTAAGAAGCATGTTTTGCTTCATATTGAGCAAAAGTTTCACTTGGACAGCATGTTTCAAGCAATTTGAGCAATTTTTTCAACATGGGTGTCATTGTCTGAACCGTGCAAGGCAATTTTGAAAAATTTGTTCTTCGAAAATCACCAAAGTTTAAACATTTCTTTGGCTGCAGTTTGACGAAGAATCTGTCGATTCGTATTTTTTTAAAGTTTCATTCCGATACCGCTTTTGAGAAAATGTTGACAAATTTTCAAAGTTGGTGCTGGTAGTTGAGCCAAGTGCGTCATTAAAAAAATTGTTTTTCCAAAAATTGCTCACAATACTGGGGTTGTGGGAAAAGGGGTTTCACACGCATACCTTCCTGTATGTTGTGCAAAAGTTTCACTTTGCTGGCGCGTTTGAGGTATTTTTAATAATTTTTTAAAATGAGTGCACGTAATTGAGCTGTTAGCTGCAAGGCTAATTTTTTAAATTTGCCTTCAAGAACTGGGCACGTTTGAAAGGGTTTTAACACCTCTTGATGAAGAACAGTTTGGTTCATATTTGCAGAAAGTTTCATTTCGACAGCACTGGTAAAAAAAGTTTG